TATTAGGACAAATTGTGGAAAGAGCATTTGTATGAGAGACATGAAATTGCTCAAGGTGCTTGGGATCCTGGTAATCATTCTTAAAGGAAACCATGTTAGCAAATGAATATCATACTCCAGACAAATTGAGCAAAGTAGGACAGACACATGTACGAGAAACATGAAAAAACTTTAGAGCTTCAAAAACGCATTGAGGCATTCAAACCAATATGTATGACATGCAATGACAGAAACTAGCAATGGTGTACTATTTATAATCAACAGTAGAAATTACAAGTATTTTCAGAAAGCTAAAAAGCTAAGAGAGAGTAGATCAGACAGTCATATCAAATACCAAGATCTCAAAACACCCAAGCTATACCATACAGAAGTACATTATCACATTGAATTCGACAAGCACACCTGATTTTTACGACAGTATTGTTTCTGCCCAATACTGATGATCTTCTCAAAGTGAGATTTCATGGTGTCTTCCTCCATTGGCACCTGCAGACGTTTAAACAACTGTCTGGCAGCTCCCTATATTAAGCCAAAGAAACATCATAGTAACAGCTACCATATTGGTAATAAGAAGATAGAATGTGCACAGCATTAATGTTAATTTAAATAATTATTTTCAAGATGGAAGTAACTGGTGAAATAGTGCATTACACGATTGTAATTTACATTGGGAATGCCACGTAATGTAGAACTATAAGGTTCAGTGGGCCCCAAATCTTCAGCACTATCTGCTCCATCACCAGAAGTTTTATCCATCAGAATAATATGACGTTCCTTGCATTCCTTAGCATTGCGGTATATGCACTGGTTACATGGAAGATATATGGTTTTCTTAACAAAATTAAATTTAAATGAAGAAAAGAAATCAAAATCAAAACTATAATCTCCATCAATAAAGATGACCATCGACATTTAGCTTAAGCTTACCATCAACTTCAGAGTGTAATTAAAAGCATCAGTTACAAGCCCCCAGTTCGTGCCCAGGTCATGTGCCAGGACAACAAGTGCCTATAAATTCCAATTAAAATTCATTAATATGATGATACCTTACTAGAAAACAACCGTACTCAAGGAAATTTTTCTGTATTTCTATATGTTCATATGCATGCAATATACATAAATCAACCTGGTCCTCATAGAGTGTCCATGGATTTCCTGAGCCGGGCTGCCCAGCAGGCATCTGACAGAAATAAAAATGCTTAACCTCAGTTTGCACACCACCTTGAAGAGTCAATAACTGAAAAGTTGAAAGGGGGCCGAGGATGGAAATTGTACCTTGAGACCTTTTGGTTTTCTACCCCGATCCCGACCACCAAGCATTTTAATAAATTTATTTGGATTGGACATGTTACTCATTTGGGAAACTACAGGAGAAGGAACAGAACCAGTAATTGGTGTTATATTCTCAAAAGTGTTATCCTGTGATTGCCGCATAACCTTTGGTTTCTTCATCATGGGTTGACCCAATAAACCTTCACAAATGATAGATAAATACATTAGGCATGATAAAGAGTGTATCAAATGTGAACACCATCTACAGGCTTGGGGGAGAATAAGCTTTACCGCTGCTACCATTAGATTCAAGTTGATGACTCTTCTTCAAGTGATCCCTCTGAAACTGTAGAAAAGATTAGTACTCAAAAATACTTCGAACAAGTAACATAATTTAGAGAAAGAAATAATAAACCCTCAACAGCCAAATGAGAACTCAAAATTAGTAACTGATTTTCACTTTGTTTCCTTAGCATGTGTGTTGAATATGAGTCAACAATATTTAGATCAATACAATCAAATTAAATCCCTCAAGACTGCGAGTACTAGAATATCCTCCAATGCCTTTTACATATCATGATAAATCGTTCAGTGAACTATGTAACTACAAAAAAGCCAATATGTACTACCCAGAATAATTGTTTGTAATAGCAACAATTTTCCGAAGCACTGGAGTATGAGCTTTCCATCTCAAACAGGCTAAGTGTTGCTCAAATAAGGCTTATGGGAATACGTATTGCATTTTTTATTATTTTATACTTTATGCAGAAGGACAGAAGGAGAAATATTTAAGTGATGTGAAATGATTCACCTGCTCGTTTTGGAAAGTGGAATCAACCTGCCATCTCGGTTCGTATGCGGCATTCTGCCAGGATACGAAAGTAAATGAAAATGGACTATTGCACAATAATTGAGGCAAACATATTTGAATTGTATGCTATTGCATACCAGATGCTTTGCTTTCTTCTTCTTCTTATGTTTTGTCGATACTTCTGCCGATTCAAATGGTAATTGTTTTTCGAAAGCCCCAACCGACTCAACTTCCAAGCTATGTGGAACAAGTGATCCACCACGAAGAGTACTCTGATCATCCTGAAATGAATTGGTATCACCACTTGAAACATCTGTTTTATTTGGTACCTGAATGCAAGCAGATGTCCCTGCACTAAAAGGGCTGATAACTCTCCTGGAAGCAGTTCGAACACGTTTTGTTGGTATTGACACATTAAGACTCGCCCCTGGCCGTTTTCCCAGTAAAGTTTGTGTCGCAACTTTATTTTCAGCAGATTGCATCTGCAATATATCAGAGCTTACTTCATACGATCTCACACCGTATGCATTTATCAGCTGTTTCCGATTCTTTTCGGCAGATCTTGAAGACTTGCTACCTTCAAAAGCCATTGACATGTCATATGTGTGTGTTTCTCCGATAACTTCATCATATGTATTGTCTTCAGACTCGAAGCCTGCAATGAAATATTATTAAAACAAACAGTTCAAAAGGCAAGGCCGGTCAAGCAGTGCCTCATTTAAAAACTTACCTGCAGATGCACCACATGCAGAAGTTTCCACATCCTCTTGCACTCTACTAGCAATTCTCTGAGCAAGTAATATGACAATTTCAGGGAATAGAATACAAGACACGAAAAATTAACAAATAATTGGCAACAAAATCTTATCGTAACATCCAAAGGCGTGTCAGAAAATAATACCAAGTTTTTTTTCTAGAAGGGAAAGAAGGCTAACAAAATTCTTTCTCGTTTTATTTTCACAAGTTCTTGGTCTGCATATTTTTAATAAAATTTTCGTATTTCAAGAAGGTTGGTGGCAAAACATTCTTTAGGAACAACTCGTGGTTTCACAGAGCAAATAACAGAATCATTCCAAAGTCAACATCGAATCCCTTTTATGAATCAAATAGCTTAAAAGGAAAATTGACGTGTTGCCAAAATTAACGTGGAGCAATCAACGTTGGCTATGACCTAAATTATTTGTATATGGAGCATGGACATATAGGTCTCCAGAAACAAGAAAGCAATACCAGGTGTTTATTGGTAGATGAGCTAGAACTAGTGACACTTTTAACTGAATTATCTAGATATCAGAATAATATACATAAAGTTAGCCCTTAAACAGAATACAGAAAAGAAAATGTCAAATGAGGATTCCCAACTTCACAATCACATTAACCCTAAACCTTAACCTCAGTTGGAATCACGAACAAAATAAATAGATATTTCAATATAGTAATAAGATTTAAATTTAAATTTATGCTTTCAATAGACAATTGTGCATGACTAATAAGCTCTCAACAAAAAACATTGTTGGCAGAATGATATCTAGAACAACTTCTATCATGTCATAGATTTGCAATTTTAGACACTTGATGTGTATTACCATAAGCTAGCCATGATTGCACAAACTTAGCCCATCTAAAAGCCTCAATAACATCATTCTCGTTCTTATTTCTTCAAAGGGCCACATATATAAAGGAAATAAAAGATATAAACGATGAAACAGTCAGATATAGTTCATCAGATAATTTATAAAGCACACGTTTAGCTAAATAAAGCATTTACCTCAAACTTGGCCACATGCGATTCAATTGAATTCTTGTAGGTCTGCATGGCTCCAGGGGGAATTGTGTAAAATAAGTTCTCCTGAATAACAAAAAAAGAAAATAATAGATAAATAACCACATAAGTTTCAACTTCAAAGGGGAAAAAAACATTCAGAGATTCATTCATACAACACTAAAATAACGATCATATTAAGTGCAAACATGAAGCAAGATGAATAGGGCATTAGAGAAAAGAAAATGTTATGGCAGGAAAAATGGGGACGGTGAAAGGGGATAAAAAGGGAGGTAAGGGGTAACTGATGGAGAGGAGGAGTCGAGCAGAGAGATAAAAAGAGAGGATTTATGTGAAACAGAGTACATCAAGATATTTGTTAACAATTCATACTTCTTTTATATTGTCCCCCCATGAGAGATCAAGGATTTCCATGTCAGACACTCTATCTGGTGAGAACCGCCAATCAGCTAGGTTATGAACAATATTGGACTTGTTATATTTCAGAAATCTCACTGCATAAGCCTGAACTGAAAGTATATCCTCCCTTTGATTTTGCTGCTCCAGTACATTGCTTGTCTCCTGCCAAACCACAGGAATTCATAAGCGGAACACTAAATTCTTATGTACCCTTCTACCACCGAATAGAGATAGAGTCTATGATGACTTCAACTTCTTCCAACAACAAAATCATTGAAAAATATAAAATCTACCATTTGCAGCTTTTGATTTTAAATTAGATCTTGAATTTTCATAAGAAAAGGGTGTTTGAAACTGTAACTTAGTCCACATATATTAGATTTGCTGCATTGTACATTTTATTGATATCTTTTTGACAACTCTGCACATGTGCTGAATCTGACAACTATTAACACATCAGCTTAAATATTCAGGGAAAAAAGAATACAGATTTTACTTCCAAAAGCAAATCAAGTCAAAAAGAAGAAATAGTTTCACCTACAAAGGCAACAAAACATATAGAGGATATTGTATGCATCCTACAAAGGCTCTACTTGAACGTACCTCTACTGAATGCCAGAACTCCATGACAGATTTTGCCAAAGTATGAGCAACCTTCTTCGCCTCCATACCAGAACTCTTCTCTTTTTTCCTCAGCTGACAAGTAAACGCAGCTCGAGAACTCGTCTGGGCTGCAGCAGCTATTTTCCAAATACGCTCCTACACAAGGAATCTCTTAACAGCAATATTTAAATATATATATATATATATATATATATATATATATATATATATATATATATATATATATATATATATATATTAAGTACAGGAGAATAACCAATTACATCCCATATAAATTATGAACTAAAAAACACTACAAAACCACAGGGAGAAATCTGAAATAGAAAAGTCTCCAAACATTTATTAAGTCGAACCTGGGCAAAATCATTTGCCAACCACGCCATTTCTTCAAGCACATAATTCCAATGAGATTTTGGATGAATTTGCTTTGGAGAAGTAGCAAAGGATAACTCCGCAATCCTCTTTCGCTTTGCCTATTCACTTCATTATATCAGATCTTTGGGTTCGACAAGTTACAAGCAAATGTTCTTCAAGCACAACTAGATTAGACAAATTAAACACAAATGCAACAATATAACCTCGATGATTTGTGCTTCTTTCAAGATTGAGTCTTCGTCAATTTTCCTTGCCAAGTTCAAGTCAGCCAAAGAAGAAGTTTGAGCCTCCAAAGAAACCGTAGAAAGCCTAGTCAATGACCCACTCTCTGGAAGATCCGAAATTGAGATACCAACAGAACCCTGTTGCCTGACGTTGGAAGAATTTAAATTGTTGAGTCTACGAATGTCAGCGGGTTTTCTCCCTGATTCTGATCCATCGCGTCCACTAGCTTCTGTTTCTTCAATGACAAATTGATCATTCCCCTCATTTTGCAAAGTAGCTCCACTTTGATTCAATTCATCCTCAGGGTGGAGTTTAAAGCCATTATCTCTCCGGGTTAGACCTGCAGAAGGGTTCATCACATTGACAAGAGTAGAACTACCCAGAGCCTCAGTCTGTTTCTTGTCTTTTACAGATTCATCACCTTTTACAACTGCGTCCACATCTGGAACTAGGGTTTGGTCATAAATCTTTCCTTTCGAGTCAGCATTTCTTACTTTACTATAGAGTTCACTGTCATTATTTCCATCAACACATAGCCTGGTTTGGGTACAAGACTTGTCAGAAGCCAAACTATTTATGCCACGAGAAGCACTGGTTTTTCGGATGCCATCTTCCATCCCATCCTCCTTTTTATTACTGAAACCATTCATCTGACATGAACTAGAGTGATTCTCAACTTCAATGGCATTCGCACTACGCTGACACTCAACAACTGCAGAAGTAATTTCTTCTACTGCTTGGACAGACTCAGTTCCATCAGAATCAATTCGAATAGGAGTTTTCACAACACCTGGGTGTGATTGTTGGTCATGCAATGGAATTTCAGAAGCAATTACATCAGAGGTAGCATCCACTGGAACGCCAGCAATCTGGTCCTTAGTTGATTCTACAGTCTTTATACCATCTAACTCCATATCCTGCTGACTATCAGTCAATCCAGTCTTCTGAACAGCACCATCTACTGGACTTGTTGCCTTTGAAATACAGTCTATTGATGCATTTAGATTTTCCGCATCAGATATCAATCCTTTAACATCCCTGAGGCCATGGCGAGAAGGTACAGAAGAGCTTTGAATGGCACGAGTTGGATTCACATCGGTCGAACTTGACCTAGTTCCATCACGATTTGGACGGGACCGATATCGTCTCTTATATGCTTTTCTCGGGATGCCAAAAGCAGCTGAATCTCCATGCTCCCGAGTTCTTTGAATCCCTCCCACCTGGGATAACTTTTCAGATGGCACAATGTTACTCCTACTGGCATGTAATGAGTTCTTATCACCTTCAGAAAACTCATGTTCAGCATCAAATAAAACTAGATTATCGGCACCATTGGATTCAAAAGGTTTTTCACCAAGTCTACCACTACTTTCCACAGAGTCTCCATGAGGAGACGCAGTAAATGCAATACTACCTTTTGCCTCACTGTAAAGCCAAAAAAACATTAAACTAATACAAAATCATATTATTCGAGTCAGTAAGTTGTAACAACAATCAAAATGTAACTCATTTAAAATACCTGGTCACAAGCTGATCAGTAAATGAAGTTGAATGGACACTAACTGAAGCAGCACTCCTAATCTTATAATACTCCATAGGATCTCCACCCTGCCAACATAAAGGAATCAAGCACTGAGAGATGTTCAATATACAATGAGAAAGGGAAAATAAAACAGCTCCATACTTCCTCAAGAAATGCCAATTCTCTATTCCTTTTCTCCCGAATTTCATACTCTTGCCTGTTATCAGAAGAAACTTGTTCATGGAAATGACAATATAATTTGAGAACAGAAAGCTCAGTAGCTTGATACGTAATCCAAACATCAGTGCAGCATTACCTGAGCTCTGCTTGGACTTTCTCAATTGCCGCTCGTCGGGGAGAAGTTTTGTTAACAATACCAACTCCTCCTTCAACAACTCCCCCCATTGAATCAAATTCGGCATTGACTAGGAGAACAGATGTTGAAGTGCACCCATGCATTCCCGTCTTCAACAGCTACAGATAATCTGGTCCATTAACTCATGACGAAAGCAAACTCCTAGGAAAAACGAACAGGAAGTTTTACTAACTGGAGAATATTTATATTCCATGTAGAGGAAATAACTAGAGCACATATCCTAAATAAACACACAGCCAAAGTGTTTTAAGTAATTGAGAATTGACTATCCTGTATAAAACAGATCTGTGGAAGCAAGAACTTTGAATATAATTATAACATAGGTGAGAACTGCATCTGGGTTGAATCCTACTAAGAGGTCCATTAGCGACTACGGGAAATTCTATGATAGCAATTAGTATCAATTTCTAAATGAGTCATTCCATATTCAGTTTTCATGATTCATCTCATTGCCAGATCAAGTTCAAGGCACCCAGACCTGTAATAATCTTTATTCTGGATTTCGTACTTTTCAATCAAACAGAGACTTCATACAATGAATATAATACGGGCAAAACATCCTTTGCTAAATATCACTAACGAGAGAGACAAACACAAAAATTTATAACTTAACAGAAGAACTAAGGAGTTAGAAAATTGAAGCCAAATGAATTTAGAGAGCCAACAATTCAAAAAAATCATAATTTCCTAATGTGTGAAAACATTAATCATAAGGTTCCTCGATCATATTAATGATCAATTGCTAGCATGAGCCTTGAACTTCTACAACATTTGATGGTATGTAAGCTAATATCCTATAAGTTTGATATTGTTACAGAACTAAATAGTTTGAAACAACAGGACATACCATGTTGATACTAGATAGAACATGATTCCATGAAAACGACATAACTTGGTAATTACTCGCTTACTAAAATGAAAAATAACAGAGAAGTTCGGGAGAAAGTTTCAGCAAATAATGGTACCTAATAACTGCCAATAGATACCTTAGGCTAAAAGAAAATTTATTAAAAAAGTCATTGCCCAGATCAATAGTTCAAAACATAAAATAAGTTCATAAACAAGATTCATCAAAAACCAAACATTATGAACAAAACCAAGAAGATGAATGGCCTTGACATGTCAAACAACCGATACATGTAAACTATTTTACTACAGTTGACCAAAGGAAATTACATCAAACAACAAAAAGAACATCTTACATAGTGTCCAAATCAAGTAATCTCATACAATCATACCACACGATGCATGATATCCTTAAATTGCAAGTATATGTACGAGGGAACAGACCATATCCACAGCCCTTCAACATGTATATCACAACTGCATTCCACATGCAGAGACAAATTCAAAGTACATTTTTTGAAGCAATTAAGATGGAAGGACCTTTTTTCTGTTCCATCCAGAGATTCAAAAACATTCCAAGACCAAGAAATTTATAAAACATTAAATGAACAAAATAAATCGGCACAGTCCATGGCATGTATGTGCATTTGCATAGCTGCTACTTAGTTAGCTCTATCACTATATCCACTAATCTAAGACGTCACTAATCTGATGAATTCAGTCAAAGATCATTTCTTAAGTAGAATAGTCTTTTTTTTCTTTATATGTTCCTATTAAGAGGGGGGGGGGGGGGGGGGGGGGGGGGGGGGGCAAGTCTAAACCCCTTGACCTCTCACATAATAGTGGGAGCTAGTGCCACTAGGGAAAAGGCCTTGGACTATCTCAGTCAAAGTTCGTTAACGCATGAAGCTATCCCAACCTCCACTAACAGATTCACCGACATGGAGAGAAGAAAAAGAGAACTGCAAATACCGGACAAAATGTTGTGAATGTAAGCTTCATAAACCCTACTATCCTTTATATCATGTAGATTTTCTTAACCAATCAACTAAAAGCTCAAGAAGAGTATAGCGAACTTAATAGGTCTAGTCAACTCATTCAGCATGCAAAACCATATACAATGTAATATAATCAAATGCCAATCATCGGAAAAGCAAGCTTGTATGTGCCACACAACGGGGAAACCAGAAACCATCATTGCTATTCAACCGAAATGCATGAAAAACGAAAGACGTAACCAACAATTCTCCATACCATTTATCCATAACTAAACCCCTAATTCAACCATAAAAAAACGTGAAGAGAAACTCTATGGTAAGAGCAAACATAACCAGACTTCCAAATTCTAGGGTTTCCAGAGCTGGGAGCGCGAGAAACTACCTCAATTGCGATTACCACGAAGAAGAAGCAATTCAGGGCTAAACAATGGGGTGCCCCTCTGAATTTTTGCTCTGCGCCTAGGGTTTAACTTCTGATGCAGAAGGTACCTCAACTCAAAGCGAGGAGGTATAACTTTTGCCCAAGAGTACGTAAAATTATCAAAGAATCCCTCCTAGAACAACACTACGGAGATAAATAGATACATACAAATACGCGTATGTATAGGTCAGTTCTATTTCTGTAATTTTGATGTAAAATTGCTTCAGGCTCGTCCCTCTTCGTGCTCGTTGGTGCCCCCAAAACTTTCTCTCTCTAAAATCGCTTGCAATTCATTTATTTTCTCTCTCTAGAAAAAGATTGTCAAAACTATTTCGAGCGCGATAATGTGGGCCAGAAATAAAGGCTACTTTGGTTTAATTTGGGCTTTCTTTAATTTTGGGCCTATTTATGTATTTCTTTTTTTTTGATAAGTTCTATTTTTGTATTTCACCGACATGTTTATTTTACATAAATATGTTAAAAGAGTTTGATAAATTATGAAACACCCCCCACCCCCCCCCCCCCCCAGACTTAGATTAAATAACAAAAATCACCTCTACATATTCGTAATTATCAAAAAAAAAACTTGACGTTTGTTTCTTTCTTACACCAACCCCTTATAGTGTGACGTGAGTCGTGACTTTCCACGGATTTTTTTTTTTTTATTCCAGAGAATAGACTTTACACAATTTCAACTATTTTCTTTTATGCCTCACCTATTTAACAATAGAAGGTATAATAGATTGTACACATTTTCTGTTAAAAAACTTGATCAATGGTCAATCAGAAGGTGATTTTGGTTATTACGAATTGGTGGAGTTTTTTTTGTTGTTTAGTGTAAGTTCAGGAAGGTTTCATAATTTACTCTAACTAATTTCTAATTTTACTCACCATTGTTGAATTGATATATTAGAAATGATTTTTCTTTTTTCCCGAGCTGCCAAGACTAACTCTTGACAGCCGCCCTAAGTCTTTGTTCATCCCTTGCTCGTGTCATTTGTCAAGTCATGTTCGTGCCCAATCGACGAGAATTATTCTTTACATTCTTAGACAAACATCGCAAATGTCTACCCAAAACTCGATCACTCATTAATCGATGTGTGGTTGGTTTGTGTCAACCCTCATTTGGCACCCTTTTTCAACCATGACTTAGTCGACCACACTCGAATCGTGCCGACGTCACTGACTAAAGGACTAACAGCAATAGACCATGCTTGTGAATAAGAAATACATGGTATTATTAAAAAGTTAGAATTTTGAAAGTTGAACATCAATTAGAAATCAAAAATTCGTATTCGAAAGTTCTTGAAACTCAGAAATCATAATTTCAAAACTGAAAAGAACTTTCTTTTCCAAAATGGAATTTTTTCGAGATAAAAACAAACTAAAATTCCGCATTAGAAAGTTCTTGAAACTCAAAAATCATAATTTCAAAAATCGAAAAGAACTTTCTTTTTTCCAAAATCAAATTTATTGAGATAAAAACAAATTAAGATACAATGACCCTACATAGAGTTGATTCGACTTCGCTAGATTGTGAGGAACCAGTTTGTATCTGTTTTATCTCATTTGAGCTATACATTCTGAAACAAGATGATCATAGGATGCGGCTCATAGCTTTCAAATACCAGATTGTTGTGCATCAGAAACTGAATTTTACACAAAACAAACGCAAACTAGAGAACATTTCACGTAATATATCTAGAAGATTATGTTGAATTTAATACTAGAGGGATAGTTGTATTTATTATTTACGGAGAGATATTCTTCGGAGGCGCCATATATTTACCTATTTATTTTATTAATTTACTAAAAATATATTTATTTAAAAAAAATAAAAAAACACTCCCTCCGGACTCGCTCAACACTCCGCATAAATACCATATATTCTTCTCCTTCTCTAGTAAAAAACAGAAAAATAGAAAACTAAATCATTTTTCATTTTCTTTTTCTTTTTTCTTTATTTTACCAATAAATAAACAAACAAAGCTTATTACATTGCACTCCTAATCCAGAATATCAGTTTGGTTTCATTTCAATGTGAAATATCTGAACCGTTTTGTTTTCGTTTGATCACACTATCAACAAATCAATCTCTCTTATTAATCGGGGCCGGAATGGAATTCGGCGACGGCGGGGGGCAGGACAACGATTTTCAGAGCCGGCGAGGCTATAACCAGAGGCCCAAAGACTCCGCCGGCGGCGGTTACAACCAACCCGGCCGGGGCCGTCCGGCCAACGAGCCTCTGGGCCGGACCGAGTCGAACCGGACACTGCTGGACATCATACGCGAGGAGGGCGGCAGCCAGAAGGACAGCAGAAAGACGTGGCGCCATTTCAAGGACAAGCTCCGCCGCCGCAACAGCGGCGGCCGAGGATCCACGTGGACATCCACCGTCACCGTCCCAACCTCCGACATCCCCCTCAACAACAACAACCGGATGATCGCCCGCCACCCATCAACCCGGATCAACTCGGGTCTCGAATCCGACCCGATGGATCAGCCCAACATCTCCGCCGTGCCGGATGCGAGGATGCCGAGTCTGAACCGGAACCCTAGCCGAGCGATCGAGCGGGCGAGCGGGAGATTCGATCCATCGGGCCCATCGACGATGAAGAGGCTTCATAGGGAAGAAAAATACGACCACGAGGATGATGGCGACGACGATGAAGAGGCGGAGGATGACGACGACGGAGAGGAGGAGGGGAAGAAGGATACCGACGAGGAAGAGGATGGGGAGGAACGGCCGGTGAGGATGTCGTTGATGTCGTTACTGGCGGAGACGGACGACGATCAGATGGGGCTGGGGTATATGATGGATGAGGAAGACGACGACGACGATGACGACAACGACGGGTGCGGGGCGGGTGGGGCGGGGTATAACAACTGCTGCGTATGCATGGTGAGGCATAAAGGGACGGCGTTTGTGCCGTGCGGACACTCGTTCTGCCGGCTGTGCTCGAGGGAGCTGTGGGTGGAGAGAGGGAATTGCCCGCTCTGCAATAATTATATCTTGGAAATTCTTGATATCTTCTGATTTTCATTTTTTGCTCATTCTTTTTTTTTTTTTTTTTTCTTCATAGTTTAGTTTTTGAATATTTATTACTTGATCCCATCATCATGCATTAGAAGATGAATGGGAGCAAAACATTGCATGCTGCAATTAGGTTTAATAAGTAGTGTTTGTGTTTGGAAGTGTATGTGTATCCCAACAATGTTTGTGCTTGTATTACATAAAATGTCTCGAAAAAAATCCGTTTTGATTTTGTTTTCGTTGATTCCCAAAACAAAATTATACTTATTACACTTCTCAAAAATAATTTTCTCAAAACAATCTCAAAAGTTTCTCTCTCTTTCAGAAATGATGTGACTGCTATACAGTAAAAAATGTCTTCACTAAAAGACAAATAAATATCACTTCATCTTTCAATTTTTTTTCTTCTAAAATACTTTTTTCTAACACTTTTAAACATGATGTGACTGCTACAGTGTATTTTGTCTCGTTCCAAAATATAAACAAACATTACTTTCATTCTCAAATTCTTCCCCCAAAACACATTTCCCCAAAATGAAATCAAAATAAGTTCCAAAACGCTTCCAAACATTGCCCGAGTTATTTTCAGATATCAAAATTTGATCGAAAGTAGGAATTTTCAAAAGAGTGGTATATAATTCCAATTGTAATAAAAGCATTGGGAATATAGTAATTCGAAACATATGATATCACCATGAAGATGAGGGTTTCAAAATCGAAAAATTCCAAAACAAGATTATTGAAATTCGAAAATTATCTTCCGACTAGTACACTAACATTTGTTGCAATGGATGATTATCCAATTTCAACAAACATGCTTTGGTCGAGATTGTTGAGACTAGTCCCGTATTAAAATATAAAACGGTTTCTTTTTTGTGGATGTTTATATGATCATATAATTGACTAGATACCCTTTATTTGGAGTCTATCTCTCTCTAATTTCACATTTCTCTCCCTATATTTAATCTCTCATCTCTCATGTGTCTCTCTCTTTCTTTCTGAATTTTTTTTCTTTCCTTTCAAATTCTAATTTTTTTGGGTTAAAGAAATGTTATACAAAAGAAAAAAAATGGAGCTTTACATTATAAGATGAATTATAAGATGATTTCTTCGTATAACAGTTAAAAACAAAAACATAGTTTGCTCGTTGCTTGCAAAAAAGTGAGCCTTTTGCTTCTCTCTCTGTATTTATCTGTAGTAAGTTTATAATTTGTGCTTGCCTTTTCTAACAGATTTTTCTTAAACAAACAACAAAAAGAAAATTTGGAACGGCAAAATCAAATTACTGCATTAAATAGAAACTACAAATTACAATTTTTGCATAGACAAAGTATTTTTTATAGTTTTATTGTTGTTTTTTTGCATTTTAGTGATATGTATTATTTTTTTGTTTTCATTTTTATTATTATTTTCATTTACATGACGCATATCATATCTTTATTTTAGTATTTGTAATTAGATGATGCTAGTTTTTTTAATTTCTCCATTTTTCTGTCTATATTTAATAAAATCATATACAATATATTATTTTCAGTTTGTTGTTTGCACTTGGCGGAGTACGTAATTTATTATCTAACCTCTCCATTAACATAGATGAAAGTTCCGTTTGCCACTACTATGAAAAAAATGTGATGCAAGAACGATAACCACTTATATAGTTTCCCTACCCTCGAAGCAAAGATGACTTAATTAGAGGCACATTAGCATCACACAATTATGTCATTTAATTTGATTTCACTAATTCAATAAATTAATTAATTAATCCCCAAACTATATTCTGCAAAACAATTATTTCACTTTCATACACTTTGAATTTATTATGTCACAAAATCCTTCCCAAAAAAAAAAAAATTTAAAAAATCGTGCATGATGCAATTAATTAGTTATGGGTGCATGATAGCATGAATGTATGGACAAGTTCAATTAGCGTATAGATAAGTACTTCCAAACTGATAATTATCACACCACACTTGCCACCTTTAATTTTTTTTCCTTCGCCAAACACACCATTAAATAAGATGTGATCTCTCTCTCCCTCTCCATCTCTCTCTACATATATCATAATAATTAATTATTAAATTATTTTGAAATGAATTATTACGGTTTGCGTTTCTTCGCAGTTCTTTTGGTGCTATTTGGAGTGGTGATGATTAGTGGTGTCGAAAGCGGTGATGTAGCTTTCGACACTAACTACAACGTTGTCTGGGGAGATTACAAACATGCTTCGGTACTCAAGCATGGAAGACAAGCTCGGCTTTCTTTGGACGCACAATCTGGTTAATTAGTTCTCGATATTAATTATATTCATTAATTACTATATCGTATAATTTGTGTATTTAGAGCGCGCCGTGAGTTATATGTGGCAGAGATATAGTACACATATTCTCTCTCGCGCGCACATATATATATATAGAGATTATTTTTGATATATATATATATATATATATATATATATATATATATATATATATATATATATATATATATATATATATATATATGTAGGGGGGGGCTTTGTATGCAAGCAACAATATGGATCAGGGTTCTTTAATATGAGGATCAAGCTTGCTGGCAGGAACACCGCGGGAGTTGTTACAGCTTTCTATGTATGTATATATATATATATATATATATATATATATATATATATATATATATATATATATATATATATATATATATATATTTGCACTTCTTAAATTAAATAAGTATTAATTCTTGACATAATATTTTTTTTATTATATATTTTTAAGTTTATTCAATTCATTCATTAATTGACTTGAAACTTAATGAATATGAGATTTGCATATAAAATTCAAAGCAGTTGAAATCGAGCGTCGTTAGCGCCGTCTCCGAATGTGATATATAAATATATAACTACTAATTTAGTCTTAATCTATTTATTTTTTGTTTTAATTGAAATACTTAAGTTTACATTTTGCAGCTGGCTTCGAGTGGTAATTATGGGCACGACGAGCTAGATTTCGAGTTCTTGGGGGATAAAGAAGGCAAACCGATAAGATTGCAAACAAACGTGTTTGCGAACGGGAAAGGAAATAGAGAGCAAAAAGTTGTTCTTTGGTTTGATCCAGCTGCAGATTATCACGATTACAAAATCCTATGGAACCATCGTCTTATTGCGTAAGATCAATATCTCTTTTCTCGTCACAATCATCATTAAAAAAAAAAGACCTAGTTATCTCGTATGATATCGTTGGTCGCGGTAAATTCAAATCTTTTTACCATTTGATGTAATATTTGGAAACAAAAAGTCAATAATTTATTGGAAATTACAGTAAATTGTAATGTCATATGTAATTTCAATTTAGAAAAAAAAAGGGAAAAATTGAAATACATAAATAAAATAATTAAATTCCGAAAGAAATTTTCAAATAACCGTTGACAAAATTTAGTAACATGACGACAAGGCGGACCCAGTAAGAAACTGGGGATGCCACCGGCAGAAAAGAAATAAATTTAACAATTTTTTTGTTATTTTTTTATATTTTAATTTGGTATTTTATCTATTAATTTATAGACTTTCGCTCCCAAAGTTTATTTTTATGCAATTTTAGTCCAGAAAAAAAAACTTTTGTTATTTTCTTAAATCACCCAAAAAAAAAAAAAACTGGGTTTGCCCCTGCATGACGATACATAACATAATGGTGGTTTATTGTACGTCAGATTCTATGTGGACGATATCCCGATAAGAGCGTTCAGGAACAACAAGAAAATAGGCGTCGAGTACCCGACGCAAGCAATGCAGATACACGTGAGCATATGGAACGGAGATAGCTGGGCAACCGACGGCGGGAGGACAAAGATTAACTGGACATATGCACCTTTCACCGCCCATTTTCAGAGTTTTAACGTCGACGGCTGCCCGTCGACTAACGGCCGTCGCAAATGCCATTCAGCATCTTCGTATTGGTGGAATCAAAGGAAATATTGGAATTTTAACAGAACTATGAGAAGGAAATATCAGATTGTGAGAGATAAATTTATGAATTATGATTATTGTAACGATACCACTAGGCACCCTACTACTCCCCCTGAGTGTGCTCCTAATCATTTTAAGAATAAACATTGATATATAATTTATTATTATTATTATTATTATTATTATTATTATTATTATTATTATTATTATTATTATTATTATTATTATTATTATTATTATTATTATTATTATTATTATTATTATTATTATTATTATTATTATTATTATTATTATTATTATTATTATTATTGTTGTTGTTATTATTATTATTATTATTATTATTATTATTATTGTTATTATTATTATTATTATTATTATTATTATTATTATTATTATTATTATTATTATTATTATTATTTATTGGGTAGCTTTTATTTGTATACTTTTTGTGTTTTTAAAATTATCAGCACTTTAAATAATATGTGTTCAATTAATTCCAAGTTATAATAATTCTACAAAATAATTATTTTTATTTAACACGGCTTGTTTTGAGTTTTGAACTTTTTATTGTGTATAGTTTTCCTCCACATTCGCACCGTATGAACTATCGTATCATAAGATATTTGACTAACTATTAAAAATAGAACAAAATATATATCATATAACAAAAATGCAATAAATATGTAAAAATTAATATTTTTAAAGTCAAACCATCCATTCAAAATAAATCCAAATTCAAGTTTCAAAGTTAAATTATTATGTAGGACAAAAATAATAATTTTAGAAATGTTAGTGTCGATTTTGTTACGTTTGCCAATATAATTAAATGTTTTTTATTTATGCATGTGATGTGGCAAAAAATGTTGATTTTGACTGTGAGAATAATAAAATTTATCTGAAGCAATTTTTTTTTTCTTTTCTTAATTAAGAAAAGGAACACACAATTGTTATATAAACAAATATGCTGAAAATTGCACAAATCACCCGAATGTGCTGAAAATCGTGCAAATCACTCCAAAATGGGCTGAAAATCGCACAAATCACCCCTAACATGCTGAAAATCGTTAAATGACCCTAAAACAAATATTGTAAATATCGAATAGTATCGCAATTTTTTTAACAGGGTTTTGTACTCTCTCTCTCTACTCTCCACTTATCGATGATCTCCTCCATATATCTCCTTCTCTAATCTTCTCTAATCTTACCTTTAAATCCCGAAGCACTGTATAAGCCGTTGCAATCTTGTGACATCACGTTAGGGCTCGCCGGAGAAAAAAAGGGGAAGATAAAAATCAAAAGCAACATGAAACTCTAGCTTCTCTTCCCCTTCTTGGATCGGACCGCCATTTTGAAGCTTCTTTCTGATGTGTATGGGAATGGTTTGCAATTTTCCGGTGCCGGGTTTTGTGGGTTAGCTATTATTTGACTGCCCTTTGTTAGTGATGCGTATTGTGAGAATTGAGTGGGCTAATCAATAAAATTTGGGTAGGCTAAATAGATATATAGTATAATATATAGTGGGAAATTGTGAATTAAGGGTGGACTTTGCCTCTGACCTCATCCAATGCAGTGGCGGAGCCAACATAGGCCAGGACAGAGGAACCCATCGCCCCCCAATAGTTCTCGAATCCCTATTATTTTAAAGTAAGAATCTAAAAAAATCGTGTATGATCAGCATTATCGGCCCCTCTTATAATTTTTTTAATGCATTCGCCCCCACAAACTTACTTAAAATCCTGATTCCGCTAATTATCCAATGCATAAAGCTAGTTCCGTTTGCCACTACTATATATGAAAATGAAACCCCTATAGCATGACATAAGAAAGACAACCACTTGTAGTTTCCATAGCCTTGAAGCAAAAAATGACTTATAGCTAGCTAGGCACATGCATTAACATCACACAATGACATCTCACTGCACTAATTCAACACTTAGACTTTCATAAAATCAGCCATAATGCAATTAATTAGTTATGGGTACTGATTAATATTGCATGGAGATCAAGTTTATTTAGCGTATACATAAGTACTTCCAATCAGTCATTAATCATCACACCACAATTGCCAACTATTTTTCTCTGCCAAACAACCCCTTAACATAAGATGTGATCGATCAATATATATACAACACGAGTTTACGTTAGAACACTACTACAACTTAAATGAGATCGAGTGATATATATATAATATATAGATCAATTTAGTTGTAGGGTTTCTCATATTTATTAAATATTCAAATGAATTTTTGCCGTTTGCGTTTTCTTGCAGTTCTTTTGGTATTTGGAGTTCATGTGGGTGGTGCTGACAACGGGGATGTGGCTTTCGATACAAGCTACAAAATTATTTGGGGAAACGACCATGTTTCGTTACTCGATCAAGGAAGAGAAGCTCAGCTTTCTTTGGACATTAATTCTGGTTAATTCTACATATATATTAATTTTATTTATAATTATATGGTGCTGGTTGATTTATATGCTGCAGAAATTTAGTACATAAATTTTCATTTGCATGCATATATATATTAATGCAACACGTGTGTAATTGTAATGATTTGATTATAAATTATATATTGAAATTTAATTATATATATATATATATATATATATATATATATATATATATATATATATATATATATATATAGGGGCTGGCTTTGGATCCAAGCTACAATATGAATCAGGGTTCTTTAATATGAGGATCAAGCTTGCTAACAAGAACACCGCCGGAGTTGTTACAGCTTTCTATGTATGTATGTATGTGTGTGTGTGTGTGTGTGTATATATATATATATATATATATATATATATATGCACTCCTTAAATTAATTAAATAAATAGTCTTAACCTAAATACTTGGAATACATACTTAAGTTTACATTTTGCAGCTCGCTTCAAGTGGTAATAGCCAGGACGAGCTAGATTTCGAGTTCTTGGGGAATAAAGAAGGCAAACCGATCATATTGCAAACGAACGTGTTTGCGAATGGGAAAGGAGATAGAGAGCAAAGAGTTCTTCTTTGGTTCGACCCATCGGCAGATTTCCACACTTACAAAATCCTATGGAACCATCGTCTTATTGCGTAAGAATATATATATTTTCTCGTAGTAATCATTATCGTAAAAAAATGACCTAATTATTAAATCTTTTACTCAAAATTATTTTACTACTTGATGTAATTTTTGGAAACAAAATATCAATTTTTTCGACATTTATTAAAATCGGATAGTAACTAATAATCTTATACATAATTTCAATCCAAAATGAGAAATTTTCAAATCGTACTTAACAGAATTCAGAAATTCTATTCCAATTTCCACTCTTAACCCTGATTATAATATCATGATTTAATTTAATTCAGATTCTATGTGGACGGCATTCCAATAAGAGTGTTCAAGAACAACACGAAAATCGGGGTTAAGTACCCAACGAAAGCAATGGAAGTACACGTCAGCATATTTAACGGAGACGACTGGGCGACAGACGGCGGGCAGACAAAGATCAACTGGACCTCTTCACCGTTCACAGCACGTTTTCAGGGTTTTAACGTTGACGGATGCCCGTTATCTCAAGTATCCTCGACAAATAGTCGTAACAATTGCTATGCCTCTAAATATTGGTGGAATAAAAGAAAATATTGGAATTTAGATAGAAATCAGATAAAGGAATATCAGAATGTGAGAGAAAAATATATGAATTATGATTATTGTACTGATAAGGCTAGGTACCCTGTTACTCCCCCTGAATGTGCATCTAATCAATATATTACTATATAATATATTATTATTATTATAAATAAATTAATAAATTTAAGATGTCTACAGGGTTACAATTATGTTCAATTTTATAATTTCTGTTAAATTAATTCTAAGTTGAATATTTTTCTTATGTTTCTACAAACTGTTATTTGATTTTAAGTTGATGTAAACGAATAAATTTAAATCGACTCTAAATTAGATGTCTTATTTACACTTAAGCGGACATAATAAACGAGTTATTTATCGAAAATTGCTCAATTCGTTGTCCACGTGAGATAGTTAGTGAATTAGTAGGCGTGTTTATTCGGTAACACCGAATCGAACCGTACCGGATTTTGGAAAATCAGAGAAAATCTTTGAAATTTTGTGCCGTTTACTGAATAAAACTATTAGGTTTGGTACCCTTTTTATCGAATTAATTCGATATTTTAATATCTTTATAAAAATGTAAAAAAAAGAAAAAATTAAACTAATCAATTATTGAATTTGATATTCAAATTTCAATAATTGGCTTTAAATCAAAAGTGATTATCAATAGAGGCTAATTTGTAAATATTGAAAAATGTTATCAATCTAAAAGTATTTTATTACTTTTATAATTTGCTATAACCTTAAAGAATTAAAAAAAAAATATATTAAATATTTCACTATTTGGTACCTACTAGCATCAACACCAGATACAATACTAAATACCGGAATTCCAAAAAATATTTACCGACTACTAATATAAATTTTCGGTTCAGTATTCGACACGTACCGAATTTTCAATTCGGTTCAATTTGCCGGTCGAGAAAACACATCTAAGTGAATGCATCAATATTCGAAATATTTGCTCATCTTTTGTACAAATTATACATTTGCACAGTTGCAACAACAACAATAATAATAATAAATAATAATAATAATAATAATAATAATAATAATAATAATAATAATACCAAAAAGAAAAAGGAGAAAACCCCAGATCCAAAAGGGGCACAGACCCGACCCGTTCATCCTCCATTATTTTTTCACGGTTAATAGATATTTAATTGTGGCAGGTTAAATTATAAATACAGAAATTCTGAATGCCCAATTTCAGTTCTTCTCTACCTCCATAAAATCTTCAACCTTTCGCAATTTGTGCAGATAACAGTTGCTGGATTTAGGGTTAGGGTTTTTTGGAGCACCAAGTTTGTCGGTTCAGTAGCCACACGATGTACGCTGATCGGGAGGAGGCGCAGGCTAATAGGTCAATTAGAGAGCGCCTTGACGGCGATTCCGCCGCCGATTCCAGTCGCCGGAGGCCTATCGCTGGCAAGAGGTCAACTTCATTCTCTTCATATATGCGTTTTCCTTTGTATCTATAAAGGGTGATATGGAACCCTTCTAATTTTCTCTCCGAGGCTACTTTGCTCTTTTGGTTCTTATATTCACATGTTTTTTTTTTCTTTTTTGCTTGATTCGTTAGTTAATGACAGCAAATTTTGGGTTTGGGAATGTTATTTACCAATTTAATTGAAAGATGTAATGCTTGTTTCTTGCTGGGGTTGGTAAAAAAATAAAAAAAATGTGGTAAAGCTCATGCTTTTAGATATTTCATGATTTCTGATACTACAGCTTATTCTTTTATCTAGTAATTTGGGATTGAGGTAAGGGGATATTTGGCTGTGTGATGATATTCCCTCTAGTTTTGCATTGTAGAGGGTGTGTAAGTGTAAGTGTAACCGAAAATCGTAGTTTGTTCTTCCTGAGAAAAAAAAGGGTGCAGTTGATTTTACCAAATTCGTTTTTTTTTTTTACATGCAGACAGAGGGAAGGTGATCAGAAATGGGAGCATGATCTTTTTGAGAAAAGTGGACCTCAAAGCTCAAGTATGCACCCTATCATCTCAAGTAGCTACTAATAATATTTCGTGCTTTTGTTTGTAGTACAGTGTTATTACGATATTCGTTCTGCTGAGGTGTTGTTTGACTTTGTACTCTGCTCTGGATAGATAGCAGAGTTGGAACAAATGATCTAAGGCTGAAGCTTCAAAGGAAGAATATCGATCAACCTACAAGAGTTATGAGGGGATCTGTTTCTGGTGGTGGAAGGGATCTACGTGAAAAGCTCTCGGGTACACCGTACTCTCGCCCTATTGAGTCTCAGGCTCGACCCTTGAGGCCAAAGCCTGCACCTGAAGCGAGTAAACCTCTTAGGGATATTGTCATGGCTGAAGAGCCTGATCGACAAACAAAGAAGATTGCTAGCACTGTAACCAGGAAAAAGACTCAACAGAAGGTAAGGAAACCGGCATTTGCTTCACTGCTGATAGATTACGTTTTTGTTGTCTCTCAATTCCCTTTTCACTGTGGGTGTGGTAAAATGTGAGAATACCCATTAATGTTTAGGAACAATGTGATAATACCATTCTTAGCAATGTTTCTGATCTATTGATGAATGTATGCTTATGCAGGTTGAGACTGTGGATAGTTTCCTTCAGTCCCTGGGTCTCGAGAAATACTCAATTACATTTCAGGCGGAAGAAGTATGCTCTTTTACCCTTTAAGCTTACTTTTTGTAAGGAACTATTTTCCTGAATGTTACAAATACTAATATGCTGCAAAATGGCAGGTTGATATGGCAGCCCTAGTACACATGGCTGATGAAGATCTTAAAGCCTTGGGAGTACCAATGGTGAGTGTTGCTGTATTAGGCCCTTTACATGTTAGCTTTCTCTAGTTATTTTCTTCCTTTTGGTTGTTTAGTCAACAAAAGAGAGTTTATATGAAAAGGTGATATGAAGTTTCATAGAACTACTTTCTTTTTCCTTGAAGGATTAATATATAACTTCGTAGCAATTTATCTCTGGTCCGGGTTATTTCACTACAGCCATGTTACCACTAGTTATTATTTAGGATCTTTTGTTTCTCACCGAAGCTAAAAGTCTGCAAGTGGTTTAACTTGCTTAGAGATAGGTGCCTCAGACAATAAAATAAGAAAAGTCACGTAAAGAATGCATATAAATAAGAAAATTCTGTAAACTTCTGTAAAGTCTGAATGAACCAAATTCTTTGAGCTGCCTAGATTTAAGAAAATTACTTTATTGATGTCGTTGTTTGATTATTTTGTTTGTTATCTAAAACAGTTATAATTTCTGTCCCCTAATTTGTTATAGACCTATTTATTCCTTCTTTTGAGAACAGCTATTATGGCAAGGTCGTAAGCCACCATCCTTGTCGCAGCAATTCCTTATAAGATAGCAATATATCTTATAAGGAACTAATATATGCAATATGATCAATTTGAAGTAATATATGCATATCTTACCGTCTCATCGAAATCAAGACCAAGAAAACAAATAGGGGCTCACATTCAACTTGAACGTAGCATGAAGTTTGTTTTTCAGTGACTTAAATATCGGTTGCCCTTTAGTGAAGTACAAATGATGACATAGAAATGCCTAAAATGCCTTTGAACGATAAGGTCTTTAACGACCAGAATCTTTTGAAGATGCGCTGCATTTATAGCTGGTTCTTTGCTGGCGAAGCGAAATGGAAGAGGTGGCTAATACGTCATGCCGGTTAAACATGTGGTGGTCATTGCTACGATTCTTTAATGTCACATTTCCTCTAGATGTTGAAAAATACATTATTTGAACTGGATTAGGGTGAGAGTCTTATAGGATAGTAGCCTTTGTTTTCAAAGGGAAGGTGCTAAATCTGAAGCTTGTGATTTGGGATTGAGGTGAAATTAAAACATCATTCGGCAGATACCTGGTTAGAAAGTATCCAATCTATATCCTATTTAATGCATGTCGCTGGAGCTAGGCTCATTGAATGAAAGAGCTCTTTAGGTGTGAACTTGTCTTGCCTAGCTGAACCGACTTTGGAGATTCGCCAAGAAAACCGCAACTACAAGATATCCTACAGTTCACCAACTCCGCAGAAAGTCTCGTCTGAAGCGATATAGAGCTGGAATAACGACGACCGTTCTTACCTTTAACTTCTTAATGCAACTTGTATTTGCAATAATCCTCGCCCAATTCCGCCTATCATTAATACTTGATATTGGAAGATCTTTCGACCACCCCACTTCTTGCCTTAGTCTCTAGCATTTATCGTTCCCTTATTCTCCTCTCGCTATCGTCATTAATATCCGTAAAAGTCGGAGGCTTGATTTCTTTGGCCCATATTGCCGTTGTGTCCCAAGCACTTTTTTTTTCTTTCTTTTTGGCTTCATAACCTACATGATTAATTCCAGCTTCCAGGAGATGTTGTTTCTCTTAGATTGATTTTTTTTTTTAAAGTATGTCCATTCTGTTTCTGTAATAGATTTTCTTATTGCATTGTAATGATGCAGTTTGGTTTACTAGCTAGTTATCTTGACTTGATGAGTTTGAACAAGTTGATTTTAACTTGTTTAACTCTCGTTATAATGAAAAATTATGCAGGAAATGGTATTATGGGTGTGGAAAGTAATGGACTGATGGTTCCGTTACTATTATATCGTAGTAAAAGTCTAAATGGTAATAAATAGGGCCAAATACGTCTTTGTCTGTTCGTACTTACAAGATTTGTAAGATTCAAATTATATATCGTAATTTGGATACAGTAAAATAGCAAATAGATGCTGGATAAGGAATTGCTGCTGAGCTGCATCACATTTACATATACTGCGTTTCTTCTTTTAATACTTGCTACATTTCAACGATGATTTAAATAATGACATCCAGAACCCTGTTTGTTAATTAGAACTTAATCCTGATCGCTGGTCCGTTTATTTCTGTCACTCTCCATTAATGCAATCTTCATGGTTTCAGGGTCCAAGGAAGAAGATTCTTCTGGCACTGGAATCAAAAGTCTGATAATCGAGGGGAGTAGTCCACTTCGGACCGTTACACCACCAGGCTTAATTTTGCGTTGTACAAGTTTTCTCATATAGCATGTCTGTGGTAGACCGAAATTAGCCTTTCAATGAGCTTGTTGTTGTAATTGAACACAGATCATTGATTTTCGACGTACGTTAGGATCTCAACTGGTGAATTTGATGCTTTATTTGTTCAAGTTATTTTCTTAGTCTATGATATTAATCGCGCATTTGTAATTTGAATTATTTTCCTTCGTCTGCTGTTATCTGCCAGATTAATCGCAGCAGGTTAATTGTATCGGTTCATATTGATAGCACTGTATTTTATTGCTTTATGTATAGAAATTCTTACTGGTTAGTCTTAAATATTAGTTATTACTCATCTAAGTATACATAAAAAGAAGTACAACAAAATCATTTACTGAATCATGAGATATGTAACTGGTTTATAATTTTAACATAACATTCAAGTCTCCACAAGGCAACAAAAGCCTAAAATTCGGCATTGACCTGCTGTTTCTGTTAGATTCAAATCAAATCAAATCAAATATACACTAAGATCTCTATTTAAAAAAAAAAACATTCGGATTTCGAGAAGTGGCATAGGGGGCTACGAACTATACTATTGGCCCTATGCTGGTTCGAACATTGCATGTAATAGTTGACTGTTTTCTGTGTGAAGTTTGTTTTGCAACCGCGGTACGGGTTGAGTATTACATCTTTTTAGCTTTCCATGTATTGTATTTTCTGCTTTCCAGCTTGTACCTTTTCCATTCTCTGACGGCAGCCAAAACTACGTGCAGTGAAACAGGCAAAAAGAAGGGCTGTTGAAAAACAGGAGAAACAGAGAATTAGAGCCAATCCAAGTCCGGGAGTACATGAATTGCACGTTCGGATATCTAATACAATATCACACATTCGGGTAAGGGGAACATGAAAGAATGGACTAACAAGAGAAGAGTAGTCTACAAAACTGAAAGCATAATACACAGCCAAATGTTTCGTAGTTAGATCAGTTGATTTCTAGAGGATTGATACTTCGGTCAAGAAATAAATATTTCGGGAGTGCAGTGCTCCACGACAACAGTCGGTTCTAGATGAGCTTAAAGTTTAGAGATTTGAATTTCTCTTTCATTTAAAACCAAGGTAAAGTGCTCCACAACAACAGTCGGTTCTACAAGGTTCTTTTGGTGCTTAGGTACGTGTGCCACCGTAATATCAGTTAAAACAGTTGAGGATTACCTCATGAAAGCAATGGGTTTCTAGAACACTGCATATGAAGATTTTAGCAAAATACTGAACATAAAATTGCACTAATATTCCTATCATTCGACCAATCAATAAAAATACTCGGGAACCATTTCTTGTCCTGATCTTCAAATTATGTCAGAATTGGAATATAGAAGTCAGTGTCGGAACTAACCGAATATACAGCAAAGCAGTGCTCAAACGAGTAGTAGCTAACAGACATCATGGATGGGTGATAAAACGCATCCTCCGCAAAGGACCTAGCATGTCTCGAGAACACTGGCAAATGATAATAGTATGCTATGTGTTAGCATATTTCTGCAGTGAAAGAAAGATATCAAATTCCCGAGTCGCACTTTAACCATAACGTAAGTTACTTACCCGCAGAAGCATCATACATCCCGTAAGACACATTGCTTACAGCTAATTTTGCGGCTTCGAGAGAATACTTCACCTGCTCAATGAGGTCGAAAGGTCACATATTATACTGATTTATTTCCATAGCCAACATTAAAATGTCAAGTTACTAGATCAAGAGATAATTCCATATAAAACATATAATTAAATGAGATCTAATAAAACTCATGGGTGAAGATACAAATAGAATAAATTCATGTACAAGAAAATAAGAAATGAAAAATCCTCGGAAAAAAATATTTTCACTGGGATTATGAAAAGTTTCTGATGAGAAGCTGATATAGCAAGGTTGAACCTTGAACTGAAGGATATACGAGTAGTTTTTCGAGTTAAATTTCAGACTGTCCCTGAAAGGAGGTTTACAAAACGAATTTGCAAAAGCTTTTTTCTTTTCCTCCTCAAGCGTCAATAATATTAATAAATAGCTACTCTGTCAGGAAGCAGTATAATCTACAAGCCAAAGCAGATCCCCAAGTTATGAGAAAGACATGAAATTTGAGATGCCTCATTGGCCATTGCACAAAGTACACTGAGGTAATGTGAAACCGAAGACCGTAAAATCATGAGGAATAGGTAGAACAGAGCCCCACGCTGATTGCATTTCATAGCTAACTACAAATAATTATAAGAATCTGAAGAAGTCATTTTTTATTACAGCGGAGATTGAGATGAATAGAAGTCATTCATGACAGGCTAAGGAATGCTTACTTGTTTTCCTATTTCATCCTTAATAATCATTCTTGGAAGTGATTGGACCTGTATGAAGATATTGGTTATAGCCAAGGACATAAATAACATCATAAATAAATTAAAGTTGAAGACATACCAGTCGGGAAAGCGATCCAAGAGTTGTCGTACACTGGAGAAGATTAAAACAGGTGTGTTGTCGTGACAAGAAATCCAGTTCCCTTAAAAGCAGCAAAAATTACATGCCATCAGTTTCCAGGTAGACAATGTATCTATGTGTCACAATTTGACATCCAGCAGAGAGATTTATCTAACGAGACATCATTATCTCATTCATGAATTCAATAAAGCATCAGTAGCTTCTTAAGGTATTTGGTTGTGTTTTGGACCAACCGTTTGGTACAAATTTAGAAGTCCATATGCAACGGGTTTAATAGAAGCATAAGTAAAAGGGTGCATTCTTAATGACATTAGAAAAATAATGATTCTTCTTTTCCATGATGCAAGCATGCATTGGCAACATTAGGGTTTTCTATTGCCGTGTTAAGTATCATCCAGCCTATCGTCTCACCATTCTGAGAAGCCTCTTTCACTAGTCAGTAGTCGTAAAGTTCCTGATGCATCAGCAAAGTGGTTTTTTGAATTCAGGCCAAAGAGTTGCCGCAACTGCCCTATGAAGATCTCAAAAGTTTTCGTCAAGTCCTGTTTCCACAATGAGTACATTAAGTTCAAGGCAAAGCCTTCTTATCTAGGAGCTTAGCTGAAAGTTTAAGGTAAGATAAGATAGGCAAATGGTCATTCACATCAACCCATCAATATCTACTGATTATTGGCAAAACATGAAACGAGGAACAGAAGCAAGGATAAATAACGCTTTTTGTGATATAGAACAAGCAAATTTTAATTGATATTGTAAATAATTTTTAGCAAAGCTAAACATGATTAACAATTCTATGTTTATTTAACTTCATCCCGTCAAAAAGAAATAATTCCCACATCCTACATGAATTCTGAAAATCAAGAATTTAGTTGTTTACGTTTTTCATGGCCAAACTTTCGCCCACTACATGATCAAACACATTGTATGTCTTATGTAGATCCCAGTACACATTTTGAGCAAAGTACAATTACGGACATAAAGTTTACATGAATAACGCCACCAAATATATGCAGATTTCTAGCATTACTGAACAAATAAGTATGCAGATACACATAGCCCTATAAGTAAAATTTACTTTAAATGGCAAAAATCAGATCTAGAAGTGCAATCATAGAAATATCCATGTCGTGACATTTTACCAAATGTACTGGACACTAAGAGCATATCAAGAACCAAGTTTTACGATACAAATAAACTACTTATTAACTTTGGAGTTAAACTAAAAGTGAGAAAGCAAAAATTCTAATCTTAGTAATTTTTTCTATCACTAGCAATGACAACTAACCTCGCGAGGAATCTTATGTCTAGCACGAGTATCCATTTTTAAATCTTTGAAACAAGCTGAAGGGTTCCAGACTGCAACACTTCCCCACATCTAAAGGTGAAATGAAATGAAACAAGTTAGATTTTTATGGGGCATAACACAGTAAAGAAACCATGATCTTAAAGAATGCAACTCACTGGAGATATAAAACCATTTGTCTTCGAAATTTCTCCATTTGGGAGCTGCAATAGAAGTGGACACTCTTCCGCAGATGGAACATATCTGGCGTCACGAGAAAATCAAATGGGAAGACAATTACATGCAATAATTTCTACAGCATGTTACAGACGGATCATTAATATTGCAGGCAAATCAGATTAACTACAAGCAGATGCCAATGCATACGGCGGATGATTAATATGACTTCTACTGGAGCTTTTTTGGCTTTACAAATTATATTATTATGTCATACTTTGTGATACTATTAACTTTTATATTCAAAAAGGGGGCTGCGGTGTTGGGACTGACTTCATGATTTCAAAATACAATTAAATTAGCAGCAGAAATTTTATACAACTAACGATGAAAAGCCATAAATGAGTTAAAGATTATACACCACAAAATGGAGGATCTTTGAACGCCCTCCAGCTGCAACTGATGTATCCAGATGCCACTCATTTGAGTTAACCTATAAATCCAGACAAATAAGAAATTTCAAGCGACATTTAAAGTCATTTTGATGACAAGTACCGAAGTAGATAATTTATTTGAACCTTTCAAATGCAGAATAAATGAAAAAAAAAAGCGCTGATAATGACTGACGTGAACTGGTAAACCATAAACTAGAAAATGTTAGCAGAGATCAACAGATATGCACTTAGCAGAGGAGCTAGTCAGACTACAACAGTTATGATTTTTCTAAAGAAAATGGAACGGAAATACTAGCAACTTCAGAAGAATGAATGATAAACTAAATTAAATATTGAACTGTTTTATGGCCTTGAGCCGTCTATTTTGCATACATTTTTAGCAGATACTATTTACCTTCCACTTTGTTAGCAGCAGGCTCTTGATGAACTTTTGTATAGTATGAAAAATAGTAGAACTTGCCTCATTGCTAGGTATTAATCATCGAGGAAATTAAAACCAAACATACTAGAAATGAAAAAAGGCAAGAAGTTGACTTTCTCAATCATTAGAAGGTAAAAAAAAAAAAAAAAATTAACCTACACACATAAACCGACACAAATTCCTCACAACGTGCAGAAAAATTAACTGCATAAAAGAAACTGAACATTCTCATCAAGATGCAAATTTTTGCTAACACTTTACACAATTTCCTTCACATGAAGTTTGAGTAAGAGGAAGTGCAGAGAGAGCTTACAAAGAAAGGAAGATCTTTCGTAGTGTAAATATAGCTCTCCAGCTTGTCATCCCAATAGGAAAATGAAGACTTTGGGGTGTGGTATAAAACCTATGCATTCATCAGTAACGGTATACAATTTTAATCACAAATGACTTAGGATTTCAACAGTTAAATTAAATAAAGAAAGAGGCTTGAGAATGACCTGACTCTCCACTCTAATATCCGCTAGAGGTTTCAGAGCCTCAACTATTGGGCTCAAGATGTTATCATCTATCTCTTGGAATTCCCTACATAGAAAATAACTTAGATTAATATTTTTTTAGTAGAAAACATATGCTATAATAGTTTGAATTTATTATTATGCTCTACTCCCAAATGATTCAGAGGAACTTATGCGATAGAACATATTAAGTGATCATCCCAGGCTTCATAAAGGATTTAAAGAAATCTAGTAAACAGCTAGACATGGTAAATCGAAAATAGGATAAAACCATATCCTAATTACGAAAGATAGACATAGTTCCTCATACAATTAAAACAACATAACAGAAATTCCGCACCAGTCATAAGTCCAATCGTTTGGATTAGCATTCAGTAAATTGAACGAAAGAACAATCCTCCCATCTGATCCGACTGGCATAAACTCCCCACCAATCGACCCTTCTTCTTTTCCACCGTTCACAAACGTATTCACGAAAACCTCAGCTACCTTCTTCACCGCCTCCTCCTTTGAAATATTACCTATAATCCACGCATGCCGATACTTCCCGACAACAGCACTCACATGCTTCTCTTCCTCCCTCCTTACCACAATCACCGTATAAACCTTTCCACCGTTACTAGAGCTACCATTATCATTCAACAATGACTTCAAATAGTCATCAAATAACTCACCACCATCTTCCCTCGAAGCCTCGTACTTGTTCATCAGCCCATTCAGAGCTCCACACTTCCAATTAAAATCACCGTCGGTACGAAAACAATCAGAAGCGGATTCTAGGGCTACGGAAACAGTGGAATTGTAATTACAAGCACCGCAAGATGGAGAATCCTTTTCGGCAAGCTTTCGCATATGAGATTCGATCGAAACCGACAATTCATTAGCAGTTGATGAAGTTCTGCCGAAATCAACAAAAACCACTTCAAATCTGCAAGGGAACTGCAGAGGATTCAACTCAACCGCAGCCGATAAATCATCTATTTCCCGGAACGGCAACGGTGATCTGTAAATTTCTACGGATTTCCACAAAAATGGAAGACCTGCAATTGCAAAGAAAACGCACAAAAAATATAATTCAACTGCGAAAAAAAGACCTGCAATTGTAAATTTCTACTGATTTTTTTTTACCTGAGAGGAAAGAGAGGAGAACAGTGAGAGTTAGAGCGAAGCGCTTCAATCCAGGTTTGGTTTTGCGCATTGTTTCCGAGTCGAATTCCGCTTCCGCCTTCTGGATTTCGGCGGCGGAAGTTGAAGGAGCTTCGGAGATTTCAGCCATCGCCGGCGGAATTGGAGTGTTGGCCGCGTCCATTTTCTCTCTCCTCAGAGTGAGAAAATTAAATCAATATTCGTTTTACGCAATTATTCAAATGAAAAAAATGTGTTGTTTGAATTTATCTACTCTTATATTTTATATTTTCATATTAATTGTTACCAGCATTTCTTCTATGCACCAGAAAAGAATTTTAAAATTGAAAAACAATAATTATTTACGTACATTACAATAACAATTGCAAAAGGAAAATTTCTACTTAATAGGTCAGAGTTTTGTTTATTTATTACTATTAGTATATATTATATAACTCAATTAAAAAAAAATAGTAAATAAAAAATAATTACAAAAATATTAGTGTTGAGAAGCGGCATGAGACGCCACGAACTATATTATCGGCCCTATGCTGGTTCCGACATTGCATGTAATATTTGACTGTTTTCCGGGTGAAGTTCGTTTTTGCAACTCTGGTACAGGTCGAGGAGTATTACGTCTTTTTGGCTTTCCATGCATTGTATTTTCTTCTTTCCAGTTTTTACCTTATCCATTCTCTGATGGCAGCCCGAATTACGCACAGTGAAACCGGTAAATAGAAGGGCTGTTGAAAAACAAGAGAAACAAAGAATTAGAGCCAATCCAAGTTCCGTAGTACACGAAATACACAGCCTAATGTTTCGTAGTTAGATCAGTTGATTTCTAGAGGATTGATACGTGTGCCACCGTAATATCAGTTGAAGCAGTTGAGGATTACCTCACGAAAGCAATGGGTTTCTACGATACGAAGATTTTAGCAAAATATTGAACATAAAATTGCACTAATATTCCTATCGTTCGACCAATCAATCAAAGTACTCAGGAGCGGAACCATTCAAATTATATTGTACTTACGTCAGAAATTGAAATATAGAAGTCCGTGTCAAGGAACTAACCAAATAGACAGCAAAGCAGTGCAGTGCGCAAACGAGTAGTAGCTAACAGACACCATGGATGGGTGAAGTATTTTTTTTTTGAAACGATCTTATTTGCTCTCCAACAACTTATTTAAACAAAATTGAGGTTTTTTTTTTTTTTTTTTTTAAATTTACCAAATACTTTGGAAGAGATTATCAGCTCTAAAACATCTTGTAAACTCATTTTAACATCTTATAAACTTAACCAAACACCCTTATAGTAGTGGATTGTGATTCCATAACCACTTGCTATCCGAATTGCTATGAAAGATATAGAGTCAAAGATTTCATTACAGAATAATTAGATAAAATAGCTGGAAAAATAAGAGATTGTGCCTTAAACTTTAAAAGGATTCTGTGTGAATTTAGAATCTTAAACGTTAAAAGGATTCTGTGTGAATTTAGAATTTTTTTAATGCAATATAATTTAATTTCAAAAAATTAGTAGATGAAAATATTTTAAAATTTTTATTCAAATGTCATTAGTGTTTTCTAGAGTTAGCCGAGCATTTATGATGAGAATAAAATGCACTTCACCCCTCTATAAACTTTCCATTTTTGCACTTTGCCCCTAAAGAAAAGGGGATAACCCCTCGAAGTATTATTTTGGTTGCACTTTGCCCAAAATTCAATTTTCGGTGGCATTGTGTAACAAAAATAACATTTTAAAGAGGCAACGTGAAGAAAAATAATGTTTTGAAGGGGCAGCGTGCAACAAAAATAACATTTAAATTGACAACGTGCAACAGAAACACTCAATTCCAACAGTGAACTATCCATCGAAAATTTATTATCCGGACAATGTGCAACAAGAGTAGTATTTTGAAGGCAAAGACTTACTTTTTAAATTTTGAGGGGGGTAAAGTGCAAATATTAGAAATTTATAGCGGGCGACATGCAATTTTCCCTAAACTTTTATATATATAAGATATCAGTTCCTCTTTTCTCTTTGTTTTTTTTTTTTTTTCCTTATTTTTGGAAATTGTTATATTAGTTAGACAAAATAATTATTATTTATTAATATATATAGCATTCAAATGACTTAATACGTGCAATGGAATTTATCAACTTCCTTTTTTTTCTGAATTAAATTAAATTAATCGCCTTGTCACTTACAAGAAAACCAAGAAAAATGTCAAAAAAATTCCTGAATTCAAGAAACATCATCACTGAGAGAAGAACAGAATACTTAAGACCCTAATTACTTAAGTAATCTTAGTTTAGAAATAATTAATCATTTGTTAGAGTACCACATAGTTATCTCTCAACTTGGTTCTGAAGATTCTGATTGTCTTCCAAAAGACGATCGTATTCAAGAAGAAGCTCCGCCGTTTGCTTCTGTAGGGAAGCAACACGAGCTTCTGCACTTTTGACGCTTTTGTCCTTTTCGGTTGACTCCAATTTGAGCTTCTTCACATTTTCGGTCAAACCCGATATTTCTTTGCGTAATCTCTCAACTTCGAGACCGGTTTTTTCTTGATTCTCCTTCAGCTGTAATTTCTCTCTCTCGACTCTGTCGAATTCTTCCTTTGAAACTCCGTTACTGCTTTTCAGTTCGTCCAGTTTTCTCATGTGGTGGTGCATTCGATCGATTAAAAGTCCGAGGAAGAGAAAAAAACCTATGAGATCAAGTAAACCAGTTGTCATTGTGCGGCCATTCTACAATTAAATAAAACATGGTACAAGAAGTCGAGAACTCAATCGTAAGAAGTATAATCAATCAGCACGAAGATTAGAAATCGACATTTGTCACCAAGTTTTTGCATAGCTCAAGTTTTCGGGATTTTCAACCAACTATTTCAAATTTTATAACCAATTACCTCTTGAATAGATACTCGAGCACTTGGTAGAAAAGAAATGAAATCATTTAATGAAACTCATAAGAACCGTAAATTACCTTTTGATCACACATAACAAAGAACAAAAGTAACATCAAAGGATCATTATCCACACACACGCATATCAACAGAAAGCACAATCACCAATCGAACCATCAACCGAATCAATAGTTTAGGCCGATAGGAAAACTATTTATGGAACCGATTACAAAGACACAAAAAATAAAATAAAATAAAATAAAAATCCCAACCCAACATTCAGACCTAGAAAACAAAAACACAAATCACAATACTAATGAATCAACAAATACAATTACACACAATCAAGAATCAAGAATCAAGAATCAAGAATCACAAATCAAGAATAAAGAATCAAGAATCAAGAATGAAGAGTAGCCTCGAAACCAGCAATTCGGACAACGAAAACATAATACCAAATCAACAAATACACTTATACACAATCAAGAATCGAGATTAGCCTCGAAACCAACAATTCAGACAACGAAAAACATAATACTAAATCAACAGATACACTTACACACAAACAAGAATCAAGAATCAAGAGTAGCCTCGAAACCAACAATTCGGACAACGAAAACACAATACCAAACCAACAAATACACACTCACATACAATCAAGAATTACGAAAACAGAACCAATAAACTCATCATTTCTTTTCGGTTTTTTTACCCATGAGAGTAGCCTCGAGCACGTTGGTCCGCCAGAGAACCTGATCCATCGGCGTCATTGCGCCGTGCTTAGCGCCCTTGTTTTGAATCTTGAAAATGCTGAATAAATCTGATAAAAGGATGACGAACACAGTAGCAGCAATAGTTAAAACAGTAGCCCTTCTCATCTTAACCTGATCCAAACCCTTCATTCCCAATTCTCTCAGCGGCCCAATCTCAAACATTAGTAGCAATGCCACTAAACCCTCACCCAACACAACGTAAAAAAACAAGACAATCATCTTTCTTGAACCCTAAAAAAAAATAAAGATTCAATTTTTATTCTTCAATACTGGAGCACACGCCAAATGGGATTATGGGTTCTAAAACCCAGCTCTTTAATTTCAGATTACATTCAAGAATTGAGCAAACGAAGCGTGTTGTTAGTGTCTGAAACTCTTTAAGGTTTGAAGGTCTGAATTAATGGTGTGGGGGGTATTTTGGGGATTAGGATGATTATGCTTTACATAGTAAAAAGGACTGAAAAAGGAAAAGAAAAGAAAAGAAGAGGAATCGAAGCTAAAGGGGAAAAAAAAAACGTCTTCGTGCCTCAAGTTTGCACCGATTTCATATTTAATTTTCTGTGAAAAAAAAAATATATTTGGCTCATTTTGTTTCAGAAATTCAATATTTTTAGTTCGTCTCTTCAATTTTCCGTTAGTATTAACCGAATCAAGCACGTGTCAGTGACTGCCTTACAGACAAACTAACAGTAAATTAACGAAATAATAAAAAATGTTAAATTATAAAAATATAGGGACTTAATATAAAATTAGTGCAGACTTGAGGAATGTAAACTATAATTAGAATTATAGTTAAAAAGTGAACGGTGTTTGAAATTACAATTAGAATTAATTAAATAATTGATAGTAAATGACGGTCAAGTACAATATTTCAATTTCTTAATCTAAAATGCTAAGTGTTATTTCAATTTTAATGGTACCGTAACGATTTTAAATTTGATTTAACAATCTTACAATCAAAATTTGACAAAACTCAAAGCACTTAATTTGTAAATATTTGTGTTAATTTTTTAATTCAACTTCGGCGAGAAATTTTTGCATGAATAACTAATAAGTTATAATATGAATTTAGAAAAATTCAAAACATAAGAGTTGTCGACATTGTCCATTCGTAACATTATTACCCGACATCCAATTTAGATGACTCAAATTGAATTATAAACCCATTGAAAAGATTATAAATTTGGCGTTTTGAATTTTGCCAAATCAGACCGAAAACAATCAAAAATCACATTTAAAGTTGAAACAATACCAATTAAATTGAAAATATATTTAGTACCACCTTTTTTTTATGCATTCTTGGTTGTATAAAATTTAATTTTTGATTAACCAAAGTTATAATTTAAATAAGATATAAATTATACAATACCTTAATGGAGTTGGGTTTTTTGGATTTGGTTGTGTAAATGATTTAAATTCCACATACAAATCTCCTTTGAAGATGTTCTATGTTAGACATGATCATGATTCTTGATTGACTAGGGTCAACATTTCTGACCGTTGACCGCCGGTTGGTTCCTAGAAGTATGACTGCAGTTCATGTTCACAATTAATCCTAATTTATTTTCATTTTTTTATTTCAAAAAATTAAATAGTTGAACCTGCAATTAAAATCTAAGAATGTTTGCTTGTTTTATATTATATTATTTTCCAATCTGCCAGCATAATTTTTTATTCGATATTAAATAATGGTCACCTAATTATATAAAAAAAATTAAAAGAAGCAAAAATAAAGAAATTCAAATAGTGTGTCAGCCGGCTGAACAGTAGCTAAGTAACCGGTTGCACCAGTCTCCAGTTGCTCAGTTCAATGACATTTCACCGGCAACTTGCACGCCAATTTCTATCATCTTAATAAAACTAAACAAGATTCATAAACTCGTATCAGTTCCAGATAGAGATGGAAATAGGAATGAAATTTTTTGAACCGCGCTAATTCCGATTGTAAAATATTTGAATTTAGAACTGTATTTTTCATTCCAATTTTGGAATTTTGATTTTCGATTTTCCAAATTTATTTGGAATGGAATCGGGATTGTATATAAAATTGCCGAAAATTCTAATGTTCGATCTGATTTTAGTTCCGAATAAATGATCATGTTAGAGACATAAACAATCATGAATAATTATTAGATGAGATCCTTCCGAATGGGCTAAGAGTATTTCGATTGTTTTTCGAAATATATAATATAATTTTATGATATATTTTGTAATTCCATAATATAAATACCGAATGATCAAGTAAATTAAAACTTTCGAAAAGATTAACTGATATCAAAAACTATCTGTTGCATTTTTTTCCTTATAAGAAAATCTATATTTCAATTTGTTGTTCATATATGTGGTTTTAGTTATTGCGTTTTGTCGAGCACTTTTGGATTTTCTTGCATTTTTCTGTAAACTTTCAGAAAAAAAAAATAGAAAAATATTGCGAAAATTCCCATTACATACGAATTTGGAACAAGAGATTATAAACTAATGTAGTTTACGAAATTCCGCCGATCCCGAGACATTCCGAAATCGGAATAAAATTTTGCATTCCGATTTTTCTTGGAACGGAAATTGGGACCTGGTTTTTTTTTTTTTACTTCCGAACAAAATTGAATGTTTTTCGTAAAAGCCATTTCCGATCCATTATGTCAGATTTCCACCCCTAATTCCTAATCACCATCACAAAATGTATATGTACCCCCCAATTAAAATATTACACTAAAACATTACTTTCATATATTAATTAGTGATAAAGCTGATGTGCCATCCCAACTATCAATTATTTTGTTTTGTTCTATTTAATCTTTTTGAGTTTGTTGTTGGCTTGCTTGCTACCTTCTTTCTTATACGGCCAGTGAAATTCTTCTAACTACTTGCAGAAATTCATTGGGCCTTGAGGCAATGGGGCCAATGGTCATTAAAATATATTTTTTTTATAAAAAAATTATCCAAAATTTAAAATTATTATTAAATATAGAAATTGTTAAAAAATCTGCAGTTGTTCCTTTTTAGCAATTACCGAAGAGATTCCTTTTCCCTTTGAAGAACCATCCCAGAAAAAGCTAAAGCAAGATTCAGATTTCATGGCCCCATTATTTACACATTTTATTTCGGAAACTTCCACTAGAAAGTGAATAATTAATTATTAACATACTTTTCATCTTGTGAAAGTTTGTTCCCAATTCTCGGTTGGTTCTTTTTTTGCTAATTAAGGAACGTGCAGATAGGCGCACTGAAGAAATCTACACTCTCGTATAATAGTGTTTTGGTACGTAAGGAATCTACAATGAATTATATAGATGCATTACACTCTCATATAATATTTTGTAAACCATATGAGAGACGTAAACTACACGAGACTAACCATGTTTGTTTGCATGCAAATCATACGAGAGACGTAAACTACACTAAGCTACCATGTGTGACAATGTCGACCTAGCGATTGTTGACAAGTGGATTCAAACCTAATTGACACAGACTCATTTTCTCTAACCAATAGGCCATCCCTTGCGGGACTACACACTTTTTTTGTTTGTTAGTAATTAACTTTGTTATTGTAGGAAATTTTGTTGAGGCATTTGATCTATGAAATTTTGAAATTACATCTCAATTTTCATGCTTTCTTTTATTGAAATGTTAAATTTGGTTTCAATTTTACTAATATGAATTTTAACTTCGAAATTGGTTTTGATAATTTTATAGTTTGATTTTGGCAAAGTTCAAAATACTGAAACTGTAGTTCTGCTTCATGATCCAATTTGAATCGTCTAAATTAGATGTCAGATAACAAAGTTATGTATTAATAAATTACATTTTAAATTTTATATAACTCAAAACATTAAAGTTGTGGATAGTGTTTATTGATTCATGCATATTTATGCCATCCTACATTCGATTTTGTTGATTCAAATTGGATTATAAAACTAATCCAAAGAACTACAAAGTTCATGTTTTTCAGTTTCGCCATATTTAAATTTGAAAAATAATCAAAATCACGTTTGAAATCGAAACAGTATTATTAAAACTGATACGACATTTAACCAACTCCCATATTCGTTATTCTTCTAAAAAAATAGTATTTAATTACAAATAGATAAAGAAATACACAATGTGAACATGTGACATAAAAAATGCCACATGCAATTCGAAAATTGAGCTACAAAATTGACTCACGACTAACGACTTCGTAATGGGCATAATAATACACAGGGAAGACAAAAGTTGAAGGGCGAATAGTCAAAGCCATAACCGGTGGCGCCGGTCATCGGTTTTGATAACACCCCCACCCCCAGCCCCCACCACCAGCCCATCATTAAATCATCATCAATTCATTTCAATTTCAATTTCAATTCATTTCATCTCTCTCTCTCTCTCTACTCTCTCTCTCTAGCTGTTGATCGTGAAATTCCTGCAGATATTTTCTTCTCGGCAGCATTTTGACTGATCTCCAACACTTGCTTGCTTGCAATTCGGAATCCTAGTAGTTTTGATTTTGCTTCTCTGCTGTTCTGTTTTGGGGTTTCCGTTCCAGCTCGACGAAGAATTAAAAATGGCTGTAAGTTAACCTTTTCCTTCAGTAATTAATATGTTTTTTTTCATACTGTGCAGTACTGTACATTAGTTGATGAAGTTCTTCTGTATATGTTGATTCGTCGTCGTTTTACCTTGTTAGTAATTTTTTTTTTAATTTTATATATTTTGTTTTACTAGATAATTGCAGTTAACACTTTCAATTGGAGTGTGTATTTGCATATTGATTTCAATTTTTTTTTTATGATTTTCTGTTAATGTGGAAATAAGTTTTGGTTATATATATATATATATATATATATATATATATATATATATATATATATATATATATATATATATATATATATATATTATTGTAGAATGGTGAAAGATTCTTCAAAAGTATTACTTGGTCAATCAAATGATAAATGCGAAGAACAAATATAAAAATGATTACCACTGGTCCACTGCAACATTGCAATTTTTATGATTATGAAACAACGAATGAACCAGAAATCAGACTCTGATGCTTACAACGATTTTCAAAATCAGTAACAACTTTGTTTTTCCGTCTATTTCGGAGGAAATGATCACAGTATTGATGCTATCTTATAATCCTGTATAATTCAGCCTAAATTTTACGGTGGAGTCTGTATCCCCACTAGGAGAAACAATTTGCTTTTTCTTAAGCGGCAATTTTTCCTTTTCAAGCTAATTACTGCTATACACAGATATGTTTTCCTTCAAGTTTCCGTTGTGCTTTGACTAATATCTTGAAATTTTAGGACCATGGCAACATTTCTTTATTCTTTGGTTCGATTCGAGAAAATCTTATCCTTGTATGTGTTATGCTTATTTGACATCAGGTTCGGAAATGGTTGTATATTACTAGACCTTCGTGATTCTTGGGCATGCAATAACTTGTCATATAGGTTCTTGAGTTGATGTTTACATGAAGCATGAATGTCAAATCATAATATCTCCAGTCAAGACATATGTACGGTCGAATGGTGAAATAATCTTTTTGCACTGTAATACCTTTGCACGATAACCGAATCTTTTGTATAGTTAAAAGACAGATCAGTGTGTTTTTATCTTAATTTGCCTTCTGAATCGATCAGTTCTGTGGTGAGGAATAGGCTTGAGCCAGTTCTGGATTCACGTCTTCTAGGATTCAGATTCTGGAGTTTAAACATCACACATGCTGACTGCTAATAATAATCTGGTATCTTCTTTTATCGAAACAGCGTTCGAATGTGCCACAATTTGGCAACTGGGAAAGCGAAGACAACGTACCTTACACAGTTTATTTCGACAAGGCAAGAAAAACTAGAGGTGGGAAGATGATAAATCCAAATGACCCCGAAGAAAATCCTGACATGTTCCCTAATAATAATGATCATCCACCTCCTGCCCCTTCAGCAATGGGAAGGGGGGCCGTCAGACCAACCCCTGAGCATCGCGTGAGCAAAGAAGACGGGCAGTACAACAATTCTCCAGGTCGGGTTGAAAATATGGGTCAGAAAACTGGAAACGAATCAAATTACGGCGGCCGGGGCCAGAGGTCGGGTCGACCTACTAGAACTAGTGGAGGATCCGAGCAAAGCTTCGAGCGTTCACCACTTCATCCACATTATCAGGCAAAAGTTGCGGGTGGGAGAGGCGGTGGATCTCCTTCTTGGGAAGGAAAGAGCCATGATAATAGCTATGGTATACCTGGAAGATCCCGCATGAAGCCGAATACTCGAGGAGATGAAAGTGTAAGGCCAATGTTTTTGGAAAGATTTTCAAATCGTTCTTCTTTTGCTCTTTTTCGTTTTCACGAAACTTGATGTTTTATCATATGATTTCAGCTTTAACTTATCTCACTTAGGATACGATTTCTCAACGTTTAAACAGTTGTATCAAATTGATGTGACCTTATCTTCCTTTCTGTTGGCCAGCAACTAAATAATTGAGTTATATTGAACCTTAAATATTAGTTTGACTGTACCTAAGACCTTCTTCTGATTTGATTCCATTGCAAATGGCAGCCAGAAAAAGGTGCAGCTGTTCCGAAATTCGGTGAATGGGACGAAAATAACCCCGAGTCGGCTGAGAATTTCACTCACATTTTCAACAAAGTGAGGGAGGAAAGGACTACTGGGGCTGGAAATGCCCCCGGTACCCCTAAACATCCGTCTTATGGTGGACGTGGTCAACAAGTCAACGACCAAAAGGTAAATTAACTATCCATTTCTAGCTTCTTTTAAGCATATCAAATACTGTTGATTTAGGCTAATAAATAATCTTTGTTCTCTTTTATCTCAATCCAGAAATGCTGCTTTCCTTGGTGGTAGAGTAAGAAAGTCACTAGTATCTATTAAGTGTTACAAAAAACTATTTTCCGAACATGTAAAAAGCTTTGGACGGATATTCTGCTGCAGCGGCAGTACATTGCTTCAGTTTGTTGTATGCTTTTTTTTTTTTTTTTTATTTATTTATTTATTTTATAATTTATTTTAAGTTTGCTGCTTCATCATCGTTATCGTTGTGATTTCGAGGTAATGATTTACGACTATTTTGTTTTTTAAGTTCCATTCTTCCACTTGTACTTTGGCTGAAATAGAGAGTTTGCTTGCCTATGTGTAGATTCTTTTAATCTGTTGTGCTTGGCTTTTACTAAAATGGATTCATTTGCTCCTTTTTTGCTCTATCTTGTTATTGTGTGATTTCTTGAAAGCTGCTATTTTTAGATAAGTTTGTTATGCCTTCTTTTTTTCCCGGCCGTCTTTGTCTTCTTGTTGATACTTTTACGACTATATCACTTTCGTACGGTTCTGTTCGAACCTGCATCTGTTAACTTCACTAAGTTTAATCTCACCGTACACGTATACTACCAACTACTCACTTCACACACATCCGCGTATGTAGATCTATGGTTCAAAATGATCCGGTGAGTTTCATCGTAGGATATTTAAGTTTGTCAGTTATAAAGTACCTCGATCGCATTTATTTTGATTTTAAAAATTATATTTATGGTTGGGAGGCTTCAATTACATATAAACAAATCTAATAATTGACAACCAAAAGAAAAATTGAAAAATAGCAAACAAACATAATTTTTCAAATTCCCTCAGAAAAATACAAATGCACAACAAATGTAAAGCAATCATCTTGTTCGAAATGAAAGACTTTTCAGAATCCAAACCAAAATCCTTAGATAAAGTAAAAAATAAAATAAAAAACTAAAAATTACAAAGAAGACAAACGAAGACACGAGTACTAATTGAAGAGAGAGACGAGAGAGAAAGAGAGAAGAGCCTGCTTGTACATACATATGTATGAAGGATGAAATGTAGGCAGATGGGGACTATCTTTTTGCAGGTTTCTTCTTTCTCCACTCAGTGCGTCCCCTATTAATTTCGGAACCATCGTTCGACAATCTCAACAAATGCAGAAACTGGAGGCACTCGTTTTCATCTTTTGCAGCATTTGGAGTTCCATTAGTTGCATGAAGTTCCGAAACTGTGTTGTCGACGATTAATTCGGGAGTTGTAAGAGAATCGACCACATCATTTTGCTGGCATTCGCGCCTGTAGTCTAAGGTTATTGTCTGAAGCTCATGAGTGTCGATAATCTCTTGCGGGATGCTCTGCCCAAACCAAAAAAAAAAAAAACGGAAGAAAACATATAAATAATAATTTTTTAAATAAAAATAAAATGACAGTATATAATATAGCTTACTGCTTTTCCTGAGTTCTTTAATTATTCACACACAAGTTGGGTTGTTTTTCTAAGGATATTTTTTAATTTTATGGGCTCACCTACATAACTACTTTCTACATGGCACACCTAATAAAATGGATATTAATCGAACCCATCACAAAAAGTCAATGAAATTATAAGGCAATTAAAGATGGTTAAGTGAAGCACAACAAACCTCGAGAACCCATCCAATGTAGGTGACATTGTTTACATGCTGGTTCATGTCCAGATCAGCTCGTCTAGGCTGTCAAGACGAAACACAATAATTACTCCAGACAAAAAAAAAAAAAAAAAGAAAAAAAAAGAGATTTTTTTTGATATGTTTGTTAAAAGAAAGCCATGCGTTCATACCACAAGCCCAACTTTGGAATGTTGAGCAGGGTCATCTAGTTTAGCTATTTTCTTTAGGCTAGCATTGTTTGCTTCAGGAAATGATAATCTGGAGTCGACAAAATATCAACAAGTAAAAGCACCGTTCATGATTAGTACTCGATACGAATCATACGCGGTTCATGGACGATGAAACCGACACATGCATAAAGCCAATCACACAAGCAAACGTTATACATTGATCTTGACATAGTGTAGGACTATGTTATTTAACAAGTAGGTGGATGTATGCATGTGTCTAAAGTTCAATTACGATTCATGAAACTTCTGAATACATTTAAATAATACATAATTTAATATTTGAAAAAGGCTTTAGACATTTTGCTCGATTCTTTTGTCCAAATTTAATATGCCAGCAAATATATGATGCATAATATCACAGATAGATAGTATTATTCAATAAACAACTTTTGTCATCTATGATCTGCTTCTTCATTAGCATAAATCTCCAGGAATATGCAAATTAATCGACTAACTTTGTGCGTAACAAAATTATAGTCTTGCCTAACCAAAGGGGTACCATAATTTCGGTAAAGCTATGATATTAAGTAACAGTTTCAAAAGCACAATTATTCAATTACCGAGGGCAAGGTGAAAGAAAGACTGTACCTAAGTGTTTTTGGGCAGAAAACGAGATACTCATCACGAACATCGTCGCTGACTTTCTGAAGGCGCCTCGTGTCTTGGTTCATCATCACCCACTTACTGCAATTAAATGTAGTAGCTGATGAATATCAAAGTAGAGAGGCGGAGGAAAATAATTAAAATAATAAATAACCAATTACTCCGAAATTATTAAATAGTACTATAACAAATCTTGAATGCTAGAACAAATGCTCAACAGAAAAAGCTCATTTATTGCAATTAATAAAGTGATCAGTTAGCTTTAAGATAGGCTCACAAAGAAAGTGCTTACAATTAAAATTAATCCAATAACTAAAAAAAAAATTACATCTCACCTCGTAGCCCGTCCTATGACTTCACCATTAGCATAGTCTTTGAGGATCCAATCCCGTCTGGTGCCGATTCTTCCTTCACTTTGGCACCATGTCTCGATCTCAACCACATCACTCCTATTTCCATGACGAATAATACGAAACACTGATAAAATAATAGCCAAATTTAAATGTTCATAAGAAATAGGGTATCGGTTCGAATTGTATTACCAAGCAGGGTATTTGTAGATCTCGATGTGCATACGAGCAGTCACCCATATGAGATGTAGTTTCCTCATGGTAGGTGTAGTAGCAAATCCATCGGTCGAGAACCCGACATTTTGAGCATGATTGCAACCAACCTCCTGTTTCATTAACATACAAATGGAGATCAGCGTATTCGATTAAAGAAAACCTGAAATTCGGATAGAGGGTGCAAATTTAACATTTTTTGCACCGAAAGAGAAGGCGAGACAACTATCAAGAAGATGAAAAAGATAATAGAGAATCAACTAAAAACACGAACTGGTCAACATCCGGACAAAGCAGAGCATTGAAACACAAACTATAACAGAAGTGTGTTCAACGATAAACGAAAACAGACGAGTAAACCTTGTCCTAATCGAAACAAAGTTATGGAACAAGAACTAGTGTAACACATACACACATGGTAGATAAATAAGCATGTATAATTAGACCTACATTACCAAATTAAAGGCGAAAACATCACAAAGGTGCAATCTTTGGGTATAATTAAGGCATGCATTAACATATACACAAGTAAATCTTCACAAACTTAAGAAATAAAAATCAAATTAGACAACTAAAAGGACCAAATCTACTCTTTCAAGTAAATACCTGCAAGAGATTGGCTATGGTTTCAACGGTGGCGGTTTTGTTAAGTCCAACCTCATAACACCTCACTATAAACTTCTCTTTATAAGACAAGCCGTCCTCGGTCAAGCTGCCGAGCCGGAGCCGGTCGGCGAGGCTCGGCTGGTAGCTCGGCTCCTGGGGCTTGCTCTTCGCCTCGCCGGTGGCGACTGACGTCACCCGCAGAAATTGGGGTTTCCGGAGCCGGTTACACGAAATGGAGGAGGGGTTTCCAATGGGGCGGCGAATCGAGCCGGAAAAGCGGCAATTGACTTGGCTCTCGCCCACGGCTACGGCGGCGTTGCATGCCGGAAAAGCCCCTCCTTTCAGCAACATTGGGATGTTTATAATTGTGGAGATTTGTTTATCTAGGGATTTATGCAATTCCACAGAGAATTCGCCCCGCCACAGAAATGAGAAAAATAAAATTACAGTTTCTCTGTGC